AGTGAAGTTTATTACCCAATATGCCCCTTCCATATATGTTCACAATGCTTAATTAAAATTAAAATTTTAAAAATTAAAATTTTAAATTGATTAATTTACAACCATTGATCATTTGTTTGGATGGCCAAGATCGGTTAATAAGGTTAACATGAAAGGGTTGGTTAGCATTTGATCTTGGCTCTATATATATATATATAACCATACAGTTTCTCTTATTTTTAATTTCATTAATTACTTTTTAATACCTCTAATCAAACACTCATCGATTAAACTGAAACATCAATAAAAAAATTTGAATAGTAGAATTCCCATTTTAAGTAATCAATATAAAAAAAATCATGGGTTCGTCCAATGAGCAAACTCGATCGTGGTAATTGTGTGACAATACGTCTATACATAAAGGTGCGGGTCAGTAAGAAATTTTCACTTAAAGACCATATGTTAAACGCCTTTGGGGAGAAAATCATGTGACACACAAAGTCGTACAGTCAATTTATAAATGATAAGACCTTTGATGGGGGTGAGGAGGGGACTGCATACGCAAAGTCGAGTGATTTTTTTAATTGGAAATGAAATGAAGGACGGGATGATGTTATACTACATGAGTTTGTACAGAAAAACGAGTCTATAGATGCATATATGAATCGTTAGATACATATCGAGAGGCAGAAATAAAAGGTTCAATGTATGCAAGATAACAAGAGTATGTGTCCAAATAATTAAAGCAACATGAGACTCATTCCTAAGAGGGTCGCTTTCGTTCTTTTATTATGTTTACCGTGATTTAAGGTTTCAACAATTGTACTCGTTATTTCAGTATAAAATAACCAAGTACTTGTGATAATGCAGAAGAAAAAGCCTGCTCAATTACACATTTTGTTATGATTTTGCCCAAACGCATGCAAAATTACAATGTATGTGTCACACACGTTCCTATCTTAACGTTTGATTCAGTTTTAACAAATCATAACGACAATTGCTTTAAGAAAACAAGTTTTGTGTTGTTTGTTTACCTCTTAATAGTTCCATTAAGAGGTAACATCTGAATCGTTAAGAGGTGAATCTTGTTTGGTAAA